CAATACACTTGCAAACATATGTATAAAAGGTACCCAAATGTAGAAACCGGTGGTGCTTGCTTTGCAAACGATTGCCAAGCACCCCTCTCTGCGCAGACTGGAAACAATAAAGATTAAGTTGGATCCTCCACCCCTGTGTGTTCATTGGCGATAGCGCACCGGGCACGAACTCACACTGTCCGTTGGGGACAACACCTCTCCCCCACCTCTACACACACCAGTCTCCACACACCCTTTCCCCACCCCCTTCACATACACACCCCCCTCCCTCTCTCCACACACACAGTCCCTTCCCCCACTACACACACACACACACACACACACCCACACACACACACACCCACACACACACACACACACACACACACACACACACACACACACACACACACACACACTGCAATGCCAGAGTCCTTTTCCAAAGCATGGGTCACCTTCCTCAGACTGAGAGGCTGGGAGAGGCTCGGTGCTGGTGCTTCCCGGTGCCCAGCCCTTGTGTTGTGCTAGCCTAGCGTCAGCCCTGGCAAATGCCCACTCCTGCTCCCCCCTCCCTCGCACTTTTTTTGCTTTCAGAAAAATAATAGAAATTTTTTTTCTGTTGCCACAAACAGGGAGCTTATTTGAGGCAGAGTGCTGGGCATGCCTGCAGCTCCTTCTGGAAACCTCAGGTGGTCTTGGGAATCCCCTTTGCACACCTGCCAGGGCTGGCATTGCACCCCCTCCCCCAAAACCAAATGAGGCATCCCTGCAATTACTGGGGGGCAGGGAGCGGTAACAGTTGCTCTTTGGGCGTCAGGCCCATGTTAACCTCCTAGCTCAAATAGGCCCGTGCCACACAGGTCATGACAGAGAGAGGGGGCACTAGACATCCCCCCTTCATTTGTTCTCCCTTTCGAGCACCTACTACATGGCACTGTCAGATGCAAGATATTGGACTAGAGCAGGGGCGCACAACCTCCAACCCCTAAGCCAGATGCAGCTGGCAGAGCCATTGCATCTGGCCCACGGGACTCCTCATGGGTTGAGAAATGTGGTGGTTGGGGAGCAGTAGCAATACCACCAGCGTCTCTTGCTTCCAAATTCCTGTCTTACCCATCCCCCACAGGGCCAGGTAGGAGCCAGCCCATGCTCTGCCTCTCCCCACACCAGTGGGGGTCAAGTCATGCCCACTTCCCTCATCAGGGTTGAGCACCACTGAGCTAGATAGACCACTGGCCTGGCCTAGTGTGGAGCTTCCTATGTTTTCCACCACTAATGCAGGAAGAATGATATGGACCTGACTCGGAGGTTTTGGAGTCAATCACAAACCACTTTGAAGCATGCCAGGCTCACAGGGTGAAGGTACCATACAGGGGTGACAACCACAGCGTATGTCAGAGTATGCAGAGTAGGACTGTGAGGATGAATCCATGAAAGCATCAAGCAAATCTGAGCAGTGGGTCTTCCTTGCCTTCCACACACCCCACAAAAGGCTCAGAGCACACAGGGCAAATAGAGATGTAGCAAGCTTACCTGTTCGGATCTTGGGTTGAGTCCCAGGTTCGAGGGTCTGCTGTTTGATTGGCAGAGCCTGCCTACCAATCTGGAGGCAGCACAAAGGAAGCAATACTCCGCCCTTTTCCTTGCGGGATTGGTTACCGGGGGATGAACCTTGACTTCTCCAGAGAAGAAGCGTGAGTTACTGGGGAAGAGGACCCCACGGGGAAGCTGACACGGGTGAGGAGAGTCTGCCACCTCCACCCTTCATTGCAGAAAGGGTGTGTCCATGTCCCAGGGCCCTAAAATGGAGGGACTGCAGGGAAACCCCTCGGGGAGGTGCTGAGTGCACTCCCTATTTTGAGGTTGTTGTGTTAAGGGCTATATAGCTAGGGGTATTTTTTAAGGGGGTTTATATGGTTTATGTGCTTTAATATCTCAGTGGGTATATTGGTATTGTTATTTGTGAAGGTTTAAAGAAATATTATGGTTAAGTTACTTGGGTTATATAAGTTAATATCCCTATGTGTTAATTGCGTTGTATAGGTTGTAAGTTATTTGGTTGATATTTGGTATTTATATGTGAATTATGGAATATTATATATAGTATTATACGTTAAGCCTTGTAAATATTCTGTTTTATATTAAGCGTCTGTATTTATTCGTGTAATAAATTGTACATAGTTAAGTATTTGGTTTTGGCCTAGCTCTGTAGAGAGGGGAGAAAGCCGCTCTAGTAGCTGACCCCTTCCTCAGCCCCCTGCCTGACCACCTCCAGTCATTGGAGGACAGGGCACACACCCCGGGTGTACCCAGGCTACAGAGAGAACCATGGATCCTACACATGCCTTTCCCAAAATGGGGTATACCCAATCCAATACACCAAGCGCCCTCATGGCAACAGCATGGATGAAACCAAACAGCAACTATGCACCAGAATGAATGGTCACAGAAAAATATAAAGACTGGAGATGTACATTCTCCATTAGGAACATGTTTCTCACAGAACAGCCACTCTGTCTCTGACCTCACTATCCTTACGTTAAAAGAAAATCCACCAGACACCTTTACAAGGTGACCTTAGGAACAAAAATGTATAAGCTGGCTGGACACTAAGAAGCAAGGACTAAACACTGATATTGGATTTGTGGCACATTATAATTTATCCAAGTCCTGAAGACTTGCCACACAAGGAAGGTGGGACTGATCTCCCCTCCCCCACCCCCTTTCCCTGTTTTGACAGGTCTTCATTTTCCAGTACTCAGCTTCTTTTCTTTTGCTAATTGTGTGTCCTCTGCACCTGAGAATTTCTCTCAGTCCCCCTCCTCATGCTGTGCATCATTTGCTGTGCCAGCTTCCTATAATCAGAGACCTGAAGAAGGTCTTACATTCAAAAGCTTGTCTAACTTTATCATAACTACGTAGTTGCTCCAATAAAAGTTATCACTGTAATAAATCCTTGCCTCTCACATAATTTCTGGACCATCACAGCTACAATATCACTCTTACACTACCATATTTGTTTCAAAGTTCTTTTTCTTTAAAGCTAATCTTTTGCATTGAAGGCCTGACTCATGATTTTTTAATGCTTCAGGTCAACAATATAGTGAGTGCCTCCCATGATGACGAAATGAAGTCCCTGGGGAACATTATGCCATTTCCTTTGTTTCTTACATTGCACAACCTAGCAAGATAAAGAGTAGTTTGCATTTTTCTTAGACAGGTGAATTCTTCCCAATACTTAAAAGACAACTGAGTAACCTCTTTGCAGCACTTGAATTAATTTTCCCTCCTATCTATCAAATAACATGTTACACTTAAGTCTAAACAAATAGAAGTGGATGCCTAATAACCAGGGATCCTGGTTTTCCCTGATAAAAAAAAAATCACAAATTCTCTGATTAAAAACCCAAAATGTAGAATTAAAATGAAAGGCCACTATCTATACCGTACAGGTATCAGTTGCACACAATGGTTTGTTGATATATTTAC